GATGCACAAAATTCGTGCAAGGGGCTTGGCCCCCGCCGCTGCCTCGGCTTTGTCCAGAAGGTCGTCCAGTCTAATTAGCATATTACGCTTTTATTATTATAGATTGCTGAGATGTTTGTATCTGTTAGCCTGTGGTACAATTGGTTTTGTTATGCGTCATTTTGCTTTAGGTTGCAGAACCTATCCACAACAATGAAAGCAGTTTTCTTCTTTTGTTTCCCATTAGTATAAACCTTCAGGTGTTTCTGTATTTGTTATTTAGTAATTGGTTCCTAAACTACATTGAGAAAAGTGAACTATAATAGAAATTTCTTCCATCTAATTTCAGTCCAGTCCAACTCGCTTTCCTTGATTTGGATGTGCCAATGATCTTTTCAAAGACTGCTTATGTTGGCATATCTCGCTGAATGTACGTAACTGCCATTTGACCTTTTTCTTTTGAAGATTTTCAACCACGAGTTGTTCGGTGCCATTGCCGAAGAGAAGGAAGTGAAGCAGATCCTCTCCAAAGTCATGGAGGCCCGAAGAAGCAAGAGTTACGATTCTTATGAAATCCTGGGCAAGTTTGTAGGAAAAGATCAGGTTACAAAACTGATCCTTCCGCTAAAAGAGGTGAGGACCTGAATGCTGCACCGGGATCTTGAAAAGAGCCTGGCAGGGCAAACCTTGCTGCCCTTGATCACCATTTCCCTGGTGTAAGGACACCAATACCATGTGGCCACTAGTTGGCAGCCCTGAGTTGAGCGTTCTAACCCAAAGTTCAGAGTCCCTGCTGTAAACCCTGAGATGCAGGAGGAAAGACAAGAATCAAAGAGTGGGTGAATAGTACATCTGGGACCAGTCAGCAGCTAAGAAGGGAGCCTTTGGAGCCAGACTGCTTCTCCCAGAATGCCAAGAGGAAGAAAACTGGCATTTGTTGAACATACATAATGTTCTAAACATTGTGCTTCGTTATCTGTTCTAATCTGCACAACCACCCTGTGAGGTCTATGGTACCTCATCGTAGACACAAAATTCAGGCTCAAGAAGGTAGAAAGGAACAAGGTTAAGGAGGAAAGTCAATATTTAGTTCCATATCTTTCTGATCTGAAGCTCACATTTTTCCACTGTTTCTTTGCTGCCTCCTATTGGGCAGGGACTGTAATTCACCTCCCTTCATAGAGTTCTCTGCCTATTGCAGGGGTGAGCATTCAATAAACATTATTCTTTCTATCGCTGTTATATGTACTAAGACTAGAGCAAAAAGCACTATCTAATGGCATGAGTTAACTATAATTCCAAATGTTTTGGTGCTGGATTAACTCCATAGTTGCTCCTAAAAAGCATTTAGCCTGGTCTAAGAATGTTAGCTATGCTTTGAGGATGAAAAAGTCAACAGAGCACATATATTTTCCATGTGTATCATCAAATCCCTCCAAGGAAATGACAGTTATTATTACCAGGTCTATGCAAGGAAATGGCTTTAATGCACCTGGAGGGTCAACATCTCACAAGTGTCACATCCTGTCTTTAGCTGTGTCCTCGGGCCTTACCCACAGAGAGCAAAGAGGGGCTGCAGGACACCTGGGGGCGCCCACACTGCTGACCCTGGTCTTCTCTGGGGTTGAGGTGATGGGTAAATTTGACTCTGTTATATCTGTTTGAAACCTTATAAGAATGTTTCATTTTTAATTAGAAAAATTAGAACAAAGCCCAATGCAATTCTTTGTTACCTGAGCATGACATTTGTGTTTGCCTCTAGATCTTACAAAATACCACGAGTTTAAAACTGGCCCGGAAAGTTCATGAGACCTTACGCCGAATCATTGCAGGACTAATTATAAATCAGGAAATGACAGCAGAATCCATTCTATTGCTCAGTTATGGTTTGGTCAGTGAAAATCTCCCCCTGTTAACAGAGAAAGAAAAGTAAGTTTGAAAAACAAAAACTCTCATTTAGGTGCTTGTTTCTGATAAGACATTCAGTTTTAAATGGTTTAATTTAAAAATTTGCTTTAGTAAAAAAAATTAATATTTATCTAAGTTATAAGATTTGTGGTGTTTTCTCTGATATCATTTCTGTTTGGGATGTTGATTGAATCAAAGTTAGGATAGAGTTTAAATATCCTATATACCTCTTACTCTGGTCAAATAGAGATTTAGATCTTGAATCCTAATAGCAACTCTACATAGTACTGTCTTTATTTCACAGAGTAACTGACCCTCTTCACCAATCTACTAAAGGTGGTTTTACCATTTAAATATCAGGACAATCTCATTTCACATACCCATAGTTTCTTAGATTAGAATCTGAGCTCCCTAATGCCTTGAGATTAAGCACCAATTTACAGTTCTCTTTATTTTACAAAGCATACCATAAACTACTTGGCAAAAAATAGGAGCTCAGTACATATTGTTGCTTCTAAGGAGATTTAGATCTTAAAAGATTTTAAAATGCCATACTGGTAAACTTCCTTTAGATTTTGTTTCTGTGTTGTTCTGAAAGAGACTCCTTGGCACTTGTTTTCAGACATCAAAGAAAGGGAGTGTACCCCTGCTGTTCATCTGAATTTGGGAATGTCCTCTGTGTCTCATGGTTAAGGGAGAAAAGACCCCTCAGCAAACAACACATTAGCTAGTGCTCAACTCTCATCCCCAGAGAGGGCCACAGTAGCCTATGGGAACGCAGCATTTATTTTTATTCCACTGTGATTGACAGAAATCCAGCAGCCCCTGCCCCAGATCCACGTCTGCCACCCCAGAGCTGTCTTCTGCTCCCCCCAACTCCAGTTCGAGGCGGGCAGAAAGCTGTTGTGAGCAGGAAGACCAACATGCACATATTTATTGAGTCTGGGCTTCGGGTAAGAATTAACCCTAAAGTGAGACTCACTGCACTTGGTGGGTCTGTGCCTTTTCCTGCTGCTGAATCTCTAGTATTGCTTATTTCCACTGTAGATGTTTTACTCTAAGTAAGTTACGGAATTTTTTTAAAGGTGCACTGGTCCATTTACTATTTATATTGATCTCTTCCTGTACTTACTTTGATAATGTAGCTCTCTCAGAATTGATGATTCTGACTTAATATTATTATGGTTTCATTGTTGCTTTGCCTATTAGTTTACACCTCTAAACTACTGTGAATTCTTTTAAAAGGTGGTGAGCTTTTGAAAACACCAGTCTGATCACCATTTATCCTAGGAGCGAGCCAGTCCTGCAATTGGGCTGCAAGGGCCTTTTATTGCTTTACTGTAACCATTGCAACACACGTTCCAGCCACATGTGGCTTTCCCTCGGTTCTTAAAGGCTCCACACTGTTCCTGCTGCAGGGCCTCACCACCCACTCTTCCCTCTGCCCAGACCCCCAAAGAACCCTGCATTTACAGTTATTTCCTAGAGTCTGTCTCCCTGGCTAAGATCCTTCAGTGCAGGGACTGTGTCCATCTTGGTCATTGCCAAGTCCTGCGTGCTAAGCCAGTGCCTGGAATCGAAGTAGGTGCTGAGTAAGCATTTGGTAAATGTACTTGGAATATCAGCTGCACAGTAAGCTCCCACCTCTTCACTTACTGAGACTCTCCCAGGCAGTGTCCCCTTTTTTCCAAAAGTTTTATATTTCAGAAAGAAGCATCTTAACATTTCAGGCTGTCTCTTATGTTATTTCATTTCTACCTAACTCATTTGGTCTTACGGGCACCTGCTGTGAAATGTCTTTTTAAATCTTTTAGCTGCTGCATCTGAGTCTGAAAACTTCCAAGATCAAGTCTTCGAGTGAACGGGTTCTGGAAATGTTGGATCCTTTTGTGTCTCTCCTCATAGACTGCCTGGGTTCCATGGATGTGAAGGTGAGCACCTGTCCCTCCACAGAGCTGGTCCTGCAGAGTACCTAGAACTGAACTCCTAGGCCTATGCGACATAAGATAGTTGGGTTTTGCTCTCCAATTTAGTAATCCCATATGTTCGGATTGCCCTTAACAGTTTATAAAGCCCTTCTAGGTACATTAATTATTTCATTTAATCCTTGCAGCAGCTTCATGAGGGTGAGTGGTGGGTCCCCATGTCAGTAATCATCCTCACCTCCTCACCATCGTCACTACCCCTACTCCCTGCTGTGAATCCTCAGAACAGTTCATGGGGTATTTATTATTGTTTCTGCTTTATAGACGAGAAAACTAGGCCTTGAACTAAGTGACTTGCCCCACAACATAGATATAGCATATGAGCCTCCATCTCAGATTCCAAAGCCCACACCCTCCCCCTTCCTCAGATTGTCTTTTACAGAAGGTTCTGAGAGCTGATTTGCTCTAGTCAGTTAGGTAAAAGCTGCAAAGCTGGGATCTGTGCCCTGGTCCTCCTGACTGGAGCCCAGGAAGGCCATCGGCAGCCTGAGCAGTAGCAGTCTTGTCAGATAGAGCTGAACTAGGTGAATAGGGTGAAGTTTATTTACCAAATGCTTACTCAGCACCTACTTTGATTCCAGGCACTGTCTTGGCTGGAGGTTCAGGGATTCTCATGTAAATCACTTGGGTTTTTTTAAAATATATTTTTATTGTTTTGAGAGAGGGAGAAGGAGAGAGAGGAAAATACCTGGCATCCTTTTTTGTATTTCTATTAATTAGAGTGTCATGTATACATAATACAAGCTTAGTAAGAATGATTAAATTGAAGTATCATTTTAGAAAATAGAAAAATCATTTATAATGTGTTGGGGGTTTTTTTAAAATTGCTAAAATTGGCCAGCCTATGCAATTATTTACCCGTATAGGTTAAGAATGTGGTAAGTGAGCTTGTGGGTCATCCTACAGCAGTAAATTCTTCTACAACGGGGAACGGGAAATCCCTGCCTTCTTACACTTCAGCACAGTTCTTCCAGAGAGCTGGGTAGAGCATGTCATTCCTTCAGCATGGCTGCGGCTGCGTAGAGAGTACCCCGCCTCGGTGCTGGGTCACTGAGTGTGGTCGCTTCATATGTTGACTGGTTTTGTTTGGTTTTGTTTTCAGGTGATCACAGGTGCTTTGCAGTGCCTGATCTGGGTCTTGCGGTTCCCTCTGCCTTCCATAGAAACAAAAGCGGAGCAGCTGACGAAACACCTTTTCCTTTTGCTGAAGGACTATGCAAAGCTCGGGGCTGCCAGGGGTCAGAACTTCCATATGGTGGTAAATTGTTTCAAGGTGAGGTGTTTTCCTTCCACTTAGAAAAAGCCAGGCCCAGGATTAACATCAAAGTTAGTTTTCCACATCGTCCTTTGTGGTCTTGGTCAAAATGTTTTCCAGATTCATTTGCTAAGGCCAGAGGGCTGGTTTCCTGTGTGAAAAGCATTGATAATGTATTAAATCCTCATTATGTCACTGGATCCTGATTTGTGGGACATCCTGGCATTAACCTCACCATTGACCTTGCAGTGTGTGACCATACTTGTGAAGAAAGTGAAGTCTTACCAGATAACCGAAAAGCAGCTCCAGGTCCTACTAGCATATGCTGAGGAGGACATTTATGATACATCAAGACAAGCCACTGCGTTTGGTCTCCTAAAGGTACGGTGTCATCAGAATGTTGGGCTTTACAGTTTATGAGCCTCGAGTCAAATACTTAAAATAACATGGAACACAGTGTTTTGACTAGCAGTAGACTTTCAAAATTATGTAATTTATAAAGATGATGATTTTGGTCATTAAAATATTTGAAAGTGAGCTCTGATGAATACTTCCAGGAGATTCTGTACAAATACAGGTATGTACTTGTACTTACCATATTGGACATTGTTTTCCTTTTTTTACTTGTGGTGAAAATATATATAACATAAAGTTGCCTGTTTTAATGATTTTTCTTTGGGAGGTACTTCCATTATGTTTGAAGATTGCCTGTGGCTACTTTGACACCAGGTTGGCTTATGCCCATCTGCAATGGGACATGAAGAGTATGCCTTTTCCTTCTGTATTTTAGGCCATCTTATCAAGAAAGTTGCTGGTCCCTGAAATCGATGACGTCATGCGGAAAGTATCCAAGTTGGCCATTTCTGCTCAGAGTGAACCTGTCCGGGTCCAGTGCAGACAGGTTTGTAGAGAACCTAGTCCCATAGCAGGGGTCGGGCCTGCCTTCTCCGTTTGGTTTTTAGATAGAGAGATGGAAACATTGACTAAATTCTGAAGACAGCTTTGTGCCATGTTGATGCTTTATTCTGTGATTCAGGAACCCATTACACTCCAGGTGTATGGAGGGCCCTTTTCAGTTAATGAGAGCATTTTGAGTACAGCCCACCATGTGTAGCATGTTTAGATAGATAGAGCATGATAGCCTGCAGCAAGGATTCCCATGTACTGGTCCAGCCATCGACTAAACTACTTACACATGTCCTTGTGTGTCGGGTGCTGCCAGAAGAGGGTCAACAAAATTTTTATAGTCTCTGTGTTACAGCAGGCAGGCACAAAACAAAATGCCACAAATAGTTATTTAATTACAGACATTAAAAGTGCCAGGAGGGAGTTTGCAGCTCCGTGGAACCATAAAAGACACACTCAGGGGGCAGACTCAGTGAGCACCAAAGCCCCATCGAAGCAAGTCTAGCCCCAGAGGGGTGTCTCCAGCACAGAAGTTCTCCCACCGCAGACACAGCTGATTCTCACAGCCAATTGGCCTGGAGGTCAATTCCTCACAGTGATAACTACAACAATCAAGGCTTAACCACAACAAGACTGTGCACAAAGCCCACAAGGGGGTGCACCAAGAGTGTCTACCTCAGGTAATTGGGACACTTAGCACAGAAAGGCACTCTATCGACACAGCGAAGCATAAAAAATGCCGAGACAAAGAAACAGGACACAAACGACAGAATTGGAGGAAAGCAAACTGTTGGATATAGAGTTCAAAACCACACTTTTAAGGTCTTTAAAGAACTGTTTAGAAGCCGCCGATAAATTGAGTAAGGCCCTCGAAAAGACTGGTGAGACCGCCGATAAATGTAGTGAGATCCTCAAGAAATCTAATGAGACCC